TGTTGTATGTGTGTTCCTCGTATAAGTCCACCATTGTGTAATGTGGCATTGAGAGGCCAAATTGGGTTATTGATATGATATATGTGATATGTAGTGTTAATCAGGTGTATGTGGTCCTTTTGGACTTAGTTCAAGGCCTGAAGTGGTCTAATAGGACAAGGAATAAAATTAAGCACTCAGGGTGTAAGTTTGAAAGAAAAAGTGGCTTTTTGCACCTAAGTATCTAATTTTAGATCCGACCGTCAAATAGAGTCTAAACTTGTTCCATTAGCTAGTATATCTAGCAAGCTTCATGTGGGTACTTGAATCACTGCAATCAGACATTGGATGTGAAAACAACACAAGTAGTAGCTCTATAAATGGTGTAAGGGAATGGCAAAACTCAGGTTAAAACGAGACTTTATAAATGATGATACACAAGTGGGTGAATTAAGTATTAACCCTGGCCTAGTAGCTCTTTACAAGTGGAAGGCTGGTTAGTCCATGATGGATGTAGCCACCTAATAACCACCAGTTTAATGTCAAAGATAATAGAAGGGTATAAGGCTAGCATTTGATCATGCATTTAGATTCGATCACATGGTTGTTATTATTGTAGTTTGGCGTGTGTTAGGGGAGCATCGTTGCTATTTTTGCAACCCCATGATGTGTATTGTTACTAAATATGATTATATGTGCTTTAGGCCCAATCACATGGTTGTTAATGTTATAGATCGTGGTAATGTTTACCATATGTACTTTATATGTGTTTTATTGCCATTTGCATCTGTTTCTAATTGATATGCAACTGTATAAATTAGCTGAAACTTGGTTGCTAAGTGGTTGTACTCACCCTTCAATTTTCAACATTTTCAAGGCCTAGCTTATCGAACCAAGATTGGAGGAAGCATATTGAGGCTTATGATTTTGATGTAAATCCTTGTATGCTTCTTTATCTTGTTTATGTGTATGCATGTTATTGAATTGCCAACTAGGACTCATTTATCAATTTAGTGCTACTTGCATTATACTTGTATACAACTTGTGTATTTTGTGCCTAGATTAGTGAGTTATGATTATAAACCTGTATAGGGCCAATGTAAGGTAGTGTTGTATATTTTGGAATGTTTTGAAATGGAAATGAGTAGTTAGTGCAAAGTTTTCCTCCCCCTTATGTTTTATAAAATTTAGGGTTAAGTGGTGAATTTGTATTATATGTGTATTTATGTAGTTGTGTTTTGTTGCACAAATCCTGTAGGGTTCATTGAGTGTGGTTAGATGGTTGGTGTAGGCTTTTGACTCTTGTATATGAGTTTGGACACTATATTAACAAAGGGCGCTTAGAGTCGAAGTGATATGTCAGTTTTTCCAAACGTGCCACATGGCTTACGTTATCAGCCACTGGCACGTGGTGGGCATTGTTAGGCTAAAATATGAAATGTCGCTCAGATAGGTCATAGGGTTAGTTAGGCTGAGTAATTGAAGAGTCAGGCTAATAGCATTATGTGCTCACGATGTTCAGCCACTTTATTACACAAGTGTTCTGACCCTGTGTGTACAGAGGTCCCTTCTGGTTTGTGAGAACTAGCTCCTGTTTCATCAGTCTTTTTGTCTTTTTGCGTCCTTACCATCTTTATTACACAAGTCCCACCGGTGTATATTTAATTTTCTTTACTTTAGTTAGGATAATTTTTTCATTAATTTTAAAATTAGAATTTCAAATTTTATTTATTATTTGAATTATAATTTTAAAATTATGAATATGTAAATAGAAAGTTGAGGTAATGGGGAGATGGTTCAAGATAAGATAGTTTATCCATTTTAAAAATATAAAATTTAAAAAATAAATAAAGTAAAACATAGTCATGGACACATGTTGTGGTTAGATATTGCTTGCAGTTCTACTTTTTCAGAAAGTTGAGATAATGGGAAGATGTTTGAAGGTAAAGTATTTTTATTTATTTTTGAAAATTAAAAATTAAAAAAATAGTGCAAAACAAATTTGGGATATGTGTCTTCATTAGATGCTACTTACAATTATACTCTTTTAGAAAGTGAGATAATGGAGAGATATTTGAGGGTAAAGCAGTTCTATCTATTTAAAAAAATTAAAAATTAAAAAATAAATAAAATAAAATATAAAAACCGTAACTAATTAAATATGCCTATATTTTTATAAATAAATTAAAAATAATGCCTTTTAATTAATGATATTTAAATGGAAATAAATATAACTATATTAAATAATTTATTATATTAAATCCTAATTTCATTAAAAAAATTAACTGTATGTTTGAATATTAGTTTAGATCATTTATGTATTTAATTTTTTAAAAAATCACTACATAAATACATTTACATAATTAAAAATTTAAGTATAAATGAAAATCTAAATATATAATATATATGTATTTATATATATATATATGTATAATATTTATGTATGGATGCATGCATGCATGCATGCATAATATTTTGGGTAATTTGAATGGCTTTTAGATAACATTTATATCTAAAAAGATGTATTTTAATCCAACATGATTTAACAGTCAACTAATAATTGGATGGATAAAAATAAAATCTTAAAAATAGATGTAATGTTTGTGTTTTGTAACTATTAATAATTAGGGGTTTCTATAGGTTTTAAAAATAAAAAAAATATCTATAATTAAGATAAAATAGAGGGAAGGTTAGAGCATTTTACTCTAACTATTTCTTATTGAAACAATAATTTAGATCTTATTTATTTTAAATTTTATCATTCTGTTGATATATCCATTAATTTATCAATCTATGTTATATATCCAATTACTAAAAGATTAAGGTGCAAAAATACTCATAATTTTTTTTTCAAGAACTTTTAATACCCTTAAGTCGACGATATACAGAAAACATAATAGATCATGACAGGAACTACAAATGGCTTCCAGACTACAAGAGTAATAGTAACAGACAAGCGCTAGATATATCAAATCATTGTTATTCTTCTTTAGTTAAAATATTTGAAGTTATTAACTGTTCCGAAAATGAAGCAAAAGATATAATATAAAGAAAAATTATTAAATAAACAAATATAAGAATAAATTATATTAATATAATTAATATATTGTAAAAAAATAGAGATTACCTTTTTATTGCTTGTTCTATGTCATTAAAATTATCAGTATTAAAAACTTTTGACTTTGAATAGGGATTGCAAATGTTGAAATTATAATTAATATAATTTATTCTTATATTAATTATATTAATAATATAAGAATTAATTATATGAATATAATTAATGTATTTAAGCCTATTTTCAAAGACATCCTAAGGAAGGTTATTAAACTTGTGAGTTTAAATAAACTTATGATAGAAGTGTAAACTAGGATAGCAAGCTCAGATCATAAACTTACAAGATTTTATCTTTAATCTTTATTAATAAATATTTATTAAAAATATATGATTAAATAATTAAAATATAAAATATGATCATGATTTGATTTGAACATATTTCAAATATAAATCATCCAAATTAAATTCATCTACTTTAATAAATAAACATACAAAACATAAAAATTTTAGAATAGGGTAAATTATTTTTTGCATTTTTGTTTTCTTTTTTATTAACATTAGTTTTTGGTTTTTTAAGCTTTTTTTTCCTCTTTGAACAGGTCCTATTACTTCTATAAATTAAGTTCTATGTAATATATATTTAACTCGCTCAATTCGGTAAAAAATTGTCAAGCTTAATAAGTTTAATCAAATTTGTATCTAATTCAAGTTTATGAATTAGTTGATATGATTTTGTTAGCTAAAAATATAAAAATGATAAATTTGGAGGTAGACTCGTGAATTTAACTAAATTTGTTTTAAGTTTGAGTTTATGAGTGAGTTAACACGATGTTGTGAGTTAGAGACATAAAAATGTTAAACTCAAAGAGTCAACTTAAAAGTTTGACAACTATAATTCTAAGGACAATCTCGTGTATTTCCCACCCTATATTTTTTTGGGCCATGAAAGATCTATCCTAATATGGCAGGGACGAGGCTAGTGCGGGTGAAAGATTGAGTGCTCCTAACTTGCAGTAACTAATTCGCTTCCATTCAGTTAAATAAATTTATAATTAAAAAACTAGAGACATAACTTCTTGAGTAAAATCTTGAAAAAATCATACTTTTCCAAGTGTATAAATATTCTTAAAATTTCCTTTATAAGTAATCATATTCTACAGAGTATCTAACTCCTATTAACAATAAAAAATTAATATATTTATTTTAAAAAATTAATTTATACCCCTCAAAAAATCAAATATTAAACAAGTGAGTTCTTCATGAACATTGTTTGAAAAAAATTAAAATTGTTTTCTTTTCTTAGATAAAAGGAGGAAATAAAACAAACAAAAAGACTTAAATCAAAGAATCGTTCCAATCGAGACCATGTAACCTCAAAAGGGGTACAAACAAGAGCCTCTGTAGTGCCTGTTTGGATTAGTTTTGGACGATCAAGATTTTAAATAATCACAAATACAATAAACCTATCTATGGTATTTACACATAGGAATTCCATACATCATTAATGATAAGGTGTATTAACAGACAAAAATATTAATATTTCTTGAGATACCCATGAAACCGCCGTTGATAATAACAATTTCACACAACGAGGGTTCGTATTAGTAGAAGAGGTGGTAATACTTGAGTTTTTTAGGATACCAAATATTTAAATAAAAAAATATTAATATTCTAAAAATACCCTTTAAAATTAAGCAATCATAATCAAAATAAGGGTATCCTGGCAATAATAAAATTAAAATATTCATTTTAACAAATTAATTCCATCCTCTCAAAAAATCATATAATAAACAAGCGATATTTTCATGAACATCTATATATATATATATAATCAAGATGCAAAAGTGTGCCATGGTATTAAAAAGCCATGTCAACCACACATTTTCCAACCACCTCAATAGTTTTTTTTTTCAAAATAATAAAGGAATTCAATAAGTCTTTTTTGTCTCAATATACAGTATGAAAAATTAATAACGAGACATAAACACTACTGGATGAAGTAGACCAGGAGAATACGTTGGCGTTGGAATAACCAATAATGAACTTGGAGGCCGCTTTGGAATTATTGGTATCATCATCATCATTGTATTGACTTCTTCAAAACCATAGATGATCCCTTGAAATCTTTCAAGTCCAGAATAGTAATTTCCATCGAAATAAACATCCTTCAATTTCATAAACGCTTGCAGAGTTAACAAACTATCAGACCCAGCTTGATGACTCTTCCCAGTAACACGATCCACATTCAAAGTCTTAGCCACTTTCTCTAATCCACCATATAAGCCATTGCAGAACTTCATTACGTGCTTCATGTCATAAATTTTGGGTTCAAAGATCTGAGCCACCAAGTGACTAAACATGTGAACGTTAGGTGGCAATTCACTTCCAATTAAAAGTTTGATCAGATACCCAAAATCATAAGTTCCATGGAATGTGATCCAAGTGAGTCCAGAATTGAAAAACAGTCCAGATTTTAGGACGCAATCCCTGAAAATCCCAGACCGAACACCCTCTTTCTTGTTCCTCAAGAAATCCATCCCTTGCTTCTTCAATAATTGAATGAACTCAACATTGTGACGATCTCGGTCAACATCAAAGTCAGAGAAATTGAATTGCCAAATGTGTCCGTTTTGAGTTCCAAATTTGGGTAAATTCCCATTAGAATCAGATAGTGCAAGACCTAGTTGGATGATGTTTAATGCATCGACGTTGGCTTTCATGAAGCTGTAATTAGTTGAAGGAGATAGCTCTGAGTAAGAGCGCTTATCATCAACTTTTGGAGTGAAAATTGTACCAGGAAACTTGAAGCTTGGCATAGCAGATTGAATCAAAGACAATTCAGTATGTAAATTTGAAGCCCAAACTTCACGAACAATCACTTGCTTTCCATTATTCGGGTCTGGATTCATTGTGATTCAATTTTTTGTTATGAAAAATTGTAGAGAGAATGCAAGTGATCTTCTCAACTCTGTAACATTGGCCAAAAAACAACAATCATGTTAAAATAAGCTGAGAGTAATTAGGGTTTGAGAGGCAGAGTATTTTGTCATATAATAAACATAAAATGGAAGATGGAAAAGTTGTTAGTTGCAAGATTTAATAATATACTGCCTAACCAAAATAAGAGCTCAATGAAGTAGGGAAACTAATGAAATTAATTTTAAACTAGCAATCAACATCAAGGTCATATATTTTAAAAGCATTCATGTGCCAATGTGCAGCTTGTTAGGTAGAGCTTTAAAACAAGCGAGTCTAACTCATGATTTTAGTTTCATAAGTCTGATTCAAAAATGATAGTTTTTTGAAGTTTGACTCTCTTATTCAAAGGCCTCAAAGCTAGGTATCTTCTTTTTTTTTTAAATAAAAAAATCATTTAAAAATAAAATTTAATATTATAATTTATAACATGACAAATTAAAATATTTTAAAATTCAAAATAAATAAAACACTTCAATAGCATTATCATCTAGAAAATAAATAAAATTGTACTACTTTTGAATTTAAGATATTCTATTCTTTTTTTTAAGAAATAGACATATATTCTTTTAGTATAAGTTACCAAGGTATGATCTTTCTTATTTATTTGTTTCTTTTACATTTCCAATTTTGTTAGAGGGGAAAATATCACCAGATGAACCAACAATTCTTCTCCATTGCCTCTAGTTCTTAAGAGTGAAAAGCGCATGCAAACCCATATATGGAACACTTCAATCAATGTAATTTAAAAAATAAAATAAAATGAGTTTGGCATGCCACCCAAGACCTAATTTAGAAGCTTGATTGCGCTAAAAATTCTTGATATTTTAAGCTCAGACTCATATAAAAACATGTTTAAATAGGCAGTACATTAAGCTCAGCCCTTTTTCTGATTATAGTTAGGTAGGGAGATTGTGAGTTGTAATCCATAATTAATGAATATATAATCACATAACATCGAACATTTAAGGATTATTTTCACTTAAGCAAACAACTTATTTTTAACAGCACTTAGAATCATTATCTCATTTTCACTCATCAAACTCCAATGCTAGGAAACTCCTTTGCATTAGACAAAGAATAATTCCTAGGAACAGCATGTTATACCAAATTTTGGTTTAAGTTATTAACAACAAGATAAAAACTTCTGGCATTTTATATGGCACGATTATATGAACGACAAAAATAAGTTTTCACAAAAAACACTTCATATAAAACCCAAAAAAAAAAAAAGCAAATTGTCCTCACCATCCATATGTTAATCGATAGTTAGTAATCACTTCAGTCTTGTATATTAAGCATCTTCTAGAAACATAATATGATCTATTTTATAAATTACTAGCTAATAAAATTATTTTATTTTAAATTAAAATCTCCAAACTATCATTGAAAAGTAAAAAAGAGAGAGAAAAAATAATATTATATGGTTTGTTTACTTTTTATTTTTTACTTTTTACCCAACTTTATCCAAAGCTTCATTTGACATTTTAAATTTAATTATGAGTCAATTTTATCTTTTAACATTAAAAATTCTTGAAAGAATATTAATCAAGGATTAATAGAACAAATTTATATCAATAAAGGATTACTTATTGTCAAAACACGAATACATATTTGTTAATTTGAATTAGTCTATTATCAATAAATATTTATTTCAGTTTTAACAAAATAACTTATCTTAAATTAAAAATAATTTATTCAAGTTTGTTTTTTATTTTGGTTCTGATAATAACTAGGTATAAATTTAGTCTAATACTTCTTGATTACTATTTTTTCAAATTCTTTTCCATGTATCCTGTGATTTTCTCACCTAGTGTTCACCGTCGGTGGGTCCATATTATTTTTTATTATACAATATTCACTCTCTCTCCGCTCTTAATATAAACTTCCTGCAGACGTGGCACCGGGCTGTGTATGCTTGGACCCTTGTATAACGTTATCTTCATCACCCGGGCAGTAGTTGCTTTGCCATCACTCGTCGCATGAGATGATGTGTGTGATGGGAGAAGGAGACGAGAAACGGAGAGAGAAAGTGACGAGAGCAGAGGGAGAGAGAGAGAGGAGGGAAGGAAAGGAAGGGGGGGGGGGGAGTGTGAATATTTTATAATAAAAAAAATTACAATGGGAGAGAGAGTGAATATTATATAATAAAAAAATATTAAAAAATATAATATGAGGACCACAAACAATAATGAACATATAAAAGGGTAGGGTAGTAAGAAAGGAAATTTTAATATTAATTAAGGAATATAATTTATTTATAATTGAGTTTAGGGTATTTAATGACTCTTTGAGTAAGGTTGAGGGAAAAAAATGACTTTTACCTCTACAAAATTTATAATGCATACACAAAAATAAATAATCCTAATAATGACTAATGGATATAAATAATGATTAATATGATGCAAAAACATGATACATTGATACTTTTATTTTTAAAAATTATAAGATATGATACATGAAGGATACATATACATATTTATGTGTAATATATATATATATGAATAAAATTATTTGTTTTAAATATTAGTTTTTTCATATTATAGAAGTTATTGAAATAAAAGATATAATTAATTAAATATTTGTTTTTGAAAATATAAAAACATACTTTTTATGAAATTTTAATCTTGATTTTTTAAAAAATCATAAGGTGATATTAGAAATAAAAAGATTAGCATAGCAATCTTGAATAAAATTTAATTTCTTAAAAAATATTTTGAAGTATTGGTTTTAAAGTATCCACTTACAATTTAAGAGTATGATCAAATATGTATAAAAAAACTAAAAATATTTTTAAATTAAAGAACAACATTTTGATATACCACATTTACTTATCAAAGGAGGATGGGGACATAACGGTATTAGACACGATGGCGACATACATACATCAAGCAACAGAATAAATCTCAATAATAACGTATCCTAACACTAGAAAGTTTTTCTTTAATCCTTGAACGTGTATGTAAACCAAAAACAAATACTCTCACCTTTAGCGATGGTTGGCCGAGACGAGGACTGAGCTGAGAGAGGAGGCCACTAATCGTCAATAAAAAAACTGAATTGTAGACGAAGAACGAGCTATGTAGCTTGGAGAACACAGAGACGAAAAAACGAGAGGGACGCAGAAGGCAGATTTAGATTATAAAATTTAATGTTATGAGGAGGTTATATATGTGTGTATAGATAGATATATATATATATAGAGAGAGAGAGAGAGATAAAAATCGAGTTAATGAATTTCAGGATAAATATATTTCTATAAATATTCTTTATTTTTAATTTATTTAGATAAATCTATTTTCAAAAATAATAAGAACATGAATTATAATTTATTCAGATAATTATTGAAAAAATTATGGTTTCCTATATTTAGACTAATCATATCCAAGTGTACTCATCTTAATATAAATTTTGAAATATAAAATTTTAAATAAAACACTTCATCTAAAAATGTTTATAATACGATTTCTTTAGTATTTTATCTATAATAATTTGGGCCGATATCTCTTGGTATAATATTAAAAACCTAAAATGGCTAATTTTATATTATTAATATATTATCTATTACCTGTTATATTTTTTATGGTATTTATTATCTATCTATTATCTTTTATTCTATTATATCTATAAAACTAGAGTTTGGTTTAAAGGTGATGTGATTAATTAAAATAAATTATTCTAAGTATTTTATTTTGATTGATTATAATTACCTACGATAGTGATTATATAAAATATATTAATTTAGATATTTTTACATGATTAATTATAGTAAAAAATGTTATAAATGCTAAAATAATTAAAATTAATATTATAATATATCATACAATGGAATAAGATTTTGCGTTCAAAATATTATGATGTTTAAATTTATTATATAACCTATGAATTTCAGGATAAATAAATTTTTATAAAAATTATTTATTTTTCATATATTTATGTTAATATTTCAAAGCTAATTTGATTATGAATTATAATTTATTCAGATAGTTGTTCAAACAAATTATGGTTCGATATATTTATGCTATTTATATCCAATTATAATGATTTTAAAATAAATTTTAAATTTTAAAATTTTAAATGAGACACTTTGTAACACTCTAAACTTTCAAATTTATTTTTCACAATTTGATAAGTTACTAAACCATAACATTGAATATTTACTATGGTAGAAAAAAGACTATCATGGTAATTGAAGAATAAAACTGCCTTTTAGAAACTCTACTATAGTGAAAAAAAGTTTGCCATATAAATAAATCATTTCACAAATTATCTATTATAGTTGAAAAGATCTACCATAGTAAAATGAATTTAACATAATAAATAAACTCTATTGTGGTGATTAAAATAATAATTATAGTAAATTATACCTATTGGAAAAACACTGTGGAACCATTAGCATAAAAAGATCCCATAATCAATGTTCAAAATCAAGTAATAGTTTTGAAATCAGAATTTAGCATAGAAGTATAGCTCCAGGGTGGCAAAATCCCAAACAACTTTCTAAGCACAAATTTTTGATATCACAATGTGACCCTAGTATACATCCTAATTAGTTTAAAATGAGTCCTAGTTAAGTCAAGACACTTTTCAAACAATAAGTTATTTATAATACCCAAGTTGGGTTTGGGCAATCAACACTTGGCTTCAATTAGGAATAGTTCTGGGATGTACACTTATTCACAACATTATTACTGTAAAATCTCTAGTAAACAAATAAGGCTATCCTTGCTAATTTACTCTTGACTCCAAAATCAAGGCAATCATGGCAAAACTCCTTTAGGTTTCCAAGTTTGTAATTGGTAGTAATGGGATCCAAAGTTTTCATATTTTAGAATTACTCAAAAAAATCATTTAACAACTTCTAAACAAAGTAAAATGTTGTTTCGGAAGCATGGGATACTTTATAAGAGTGAAGTGACTCAAAATTAGTTGA